CCCAGGGGAGATGACCATTCCGCAATTCCTTCCCCTCCATTCTCTTCCTGGGATTTTAGGCACGCACACACATGCACTCAGTGTGATTTTCAAGATACAAGGTCCAGGATTCAAACTGCGAGGGACCATGTGGGAGTCTAGAACTGTAATCACTACACAACCTGCTGGCCCCTAAGCCCTCCTTTTAGGCTCTAACAAAGGTTAGCAATCAGAGCATGAGATCAGCAAAGGCTTTTGGATCTCAGCTCATTTTGAGCAAGCAACCATGTCTCCAAGATTTCTTTTTCTCAAAATAAATACATTTTATAGATGACATTTTGACTAGAAGCTATAAGACATGTTTTAGTAAATTTTTAGAATGTTTTCACTTTCTTTAATGGAAGACGTATAATTGAGAAAATATGCGATATTATCATTCTAATAACTAGATATCTTTAAGTCTTCATGTCTCAGTCTAGAAAAATATGCTTTCTCAATGAAAACTTAATTCATACCAGTAAATGCTATCCAATAGTTCCTTAGTACAGAAAATATTGTCTAAACAAATGAATGCTAACCAGTAGTTTCTTAGTAAACAGAAAATTATTTTCTAAACACTGAATTCTGACTCAAAGCTAAACTTAATATATGGGGTAAGCCAAGTACAGGAGAAAGACAAGTTGGAACAGAGACAACTATTATCACTAATAGTATAAGATTTGGAGAATACTACCAGGAATTTCAAATATTTCTGGTTAAAAATATTCAAAATGAGAGCTGTCTTCAAAAAAGTTCATAGAAAATATATATTATGAAAACAACAACAACAAAGAAAACTAGTGCCAGCCCTATGGCGTAGTGGTTAAAAGAGCTGGATCCCAGTGACCAACCACATGGTTCAAATCCCAGTCCAGCAGCTTGAAAAATATGCTGGGCATATGTGTATGCATGCCCCAAACCAGACAGGACAGAAAAATGGTGGAACAGGGATTGTGGAGTGAGCACCGTCCACTGAGGTGTGCTGTCTACCTCTCCCTCTCTCCTTGTCTCATTCAGGAGAACACATTTGTCCTCTGGAAATTAAAAATTTTTTAAAGAAAAAACTATGTACAGGTTTCAAAATTATTTTTGCATCAAAATAAATTTGTACTTTAATTTGGGAACCAGCAGGTGGCGTAATGGCTATGTCGCTGGGCTCCCACGTAGTCGACCATGGTTCGCGTCCCGGACCCGGTGGCTTAAACTCACGCTGGGCACATGTGCGTGCGTGCCCAAGATCCCGAGGGGAGAATGGAGGAGAAGGGATTGCTGCGTGACCATCCCCCCTGGGGGGTGATTTCTCGCTTTGTCTCTCTGTCTCTCTCTGTCTGTCTGGCGAGCGCACGGGCCCTATAGCGAAAAACCTCTCCAAAAAAAAAAAAAAATTTGTATTTAATTTCATTTTTCCACAAACTTTTTTGAAGTACCCACATGTAACACTCTGAATGTAATTGTCTCGTACTTAAAACACTTTATCAGCCCAGGGGAGACTGGGAGAAGTCACTATAAACACTAAAACCATCCTATATTTTATGTACCACTTAGAAACACGAAAGTACAAAGGAACAGTGTGTTCATTTCTAAATAGTTAGAGTTCTGAGAAGCAGCTGAGGTTTACAGGGATAAACAAAATAACTTCCTTACATATGCTATAATCAGAAAGAAAGGGAAAAACCCAAAACAGAGAAAAAGAAGAGAAACAATGACTGGTTTTCAAAGTATATTTTGAGCAATTTGAAAAGAAAAAAACATAGTTAGGATGAACAGGAAGAAGAAAAAATACTTTAAGAATATACCCCAAAACAGTATAAAGAGTGAGAACAAAATGGATCAGATGACCACGCAGAAGTGCTTGAGAGAAGTATACGGATTGTAAAAGAAGAGGGAAACGAGGTAAGTGAGGAAAACGAGAAGAGATGAGATGGCATTGACAAAGGCAAAACAGGCAAATTCTGAGGGTTGAGGGAAATTTATCAATTTTTTGATTAGGGCAACTATTTGCTGAGTTAAGTGTTAGTCAGAGAAGTTGGCTAAAAAGCAATGCCACTTGAAACCCATTGATTTTTAATAGGATAAGTATGAGAACATCTACCAAAAACATGCAAGTTTTCAAAATTTGGATGCCCAGCTGACCAGGAACCAGATCTAGAGTACCCAATTCATTTGCAACAACAACTGAATACCTGACAGACAAGTAATAATTTTCTTCCCTCTAGCACTCAGCAGATTACAGCTAGTGGCTTGAGTGGTAAAAGTTTATAAAACTGGGTCAACAGATGGCATGGTGGTTGGGTTGCTGGACTCCCATGTGGCTGACCATGGTTCAAGTCCTAAACCTGGTGGCTTGCTTTCTCACTTTCCTTCTCTCTCTGGACAAAATTTAAAATAATGATAATTGAAAAAAGTTAAATAAATAATTCTTTTTTTAAAAAAAGGTTCTGAGGGGCCAGCAGGTGGGGTAGTGGAAGGAAGCTGGACTCCCATATGGCTGACCACAGTTTGAGTCCCAGACCTGGCAGCTTGCTTTCACACTTTCCTTCTCTTTGTCTCTCACTGGTCAACCTCAAAATAATAAAATAAAATAATGACAATAAATAAAATTAAATAATTCTTAAAAAAAAAAAAAAAAAAAAAAGAGGGACCAGCAGATGGCATAATGGCTATATCACCATGTAATCGGCCACGGTTCGAGTCCCAGATCCGGTGGCTTAAACTCACGCCAGGTGCTTGTGCATGTGTGCCAAAGATCCTGAGAGGAGAATGGAGGAGAAAGGATTGCAGTGTGGCCATCCCTCCCCAGGCAGGGGGTGGTGATTTCTCGCTTTCTGTCTCTCTCTGTCTTTCTGGCAAGTGCATGCGTCCTATAGCAAAAACCTCTCAAAAAAAAGGTTCTGAAACTTATGGCTACTTCATCATTCCATCAAGTCCTCTCAGAAAGAATGGTAGTCAATGTATGGAAACGAATGAACTATTCTTGTTCATAGTTAGCATGCTAAATAACTGTATTGAATTGTTATCTAAAACCAGTATGGGGGGCCAGGAGGTGACATGGAGGTTAAGGGTGCTGGACTCCCACATGGCCAACTGTGGTTCAAGTCCCAAACCTGGTGACTTGCTTTCTCACTTTCCCTCTGGCCGACCATGTGTGAGCCCCAGACCTGGACATTTGCTTTCTCACTTTCTCTCTCTCTCACATGTCCCTCTCTGGTCAAATTTAAATAAATAAATAAATAAATAAATAAATAAAGTTAAATAAAATCATTCTAAAAAAAAAGAAAACCAATATGCTATAATTTTATGTAAGTTTTTCCATATGATTTTAATTTTAGACTAGGTATCTGAAAAAATATAAATCAAAAACTAAAGAAAAATGCAGCATTCTATATACTTCACATTAACCATAGTAATTTCTTTTTTTTTAGAATTATTTTATTTAACTTTAGTTATTCTTTTATTTATTTTAATTTGACCAGAGAGGGATAGAGAAAGAAAGAGAGGAGAGAGAAAGTGAGAAAGTAAGCCACCAGGTCCGGGACTCGAACAGTGGTCAGCCATGTGGGAGTCCAATGCCCTTAACCACCATGCCACCTGCTGGCCCCAACCATAGTAATTTCTTGGGACGATCTACATCATAAAGATCTTTTTTTGTTCTGGTTAAGCAACAGAAAAGAACTTATCTTTTGCTTCCAGACATTAATTACATAAAGTTTTAAAACAATGCCATCTAGTGGATATCTTATAAAATGTATCTCTTTCACAAAAATGCACTTCAGATTCATTCATTCAACAAATATTGGGTTGTCAGAAAAGTCATGATGCTTTTTTTGCATAGAAAAACATGGAAAAAATACGTCATGACTTTCCAACAACATCTTGAGGAACTACTATATCCAGGCACCATTCCAGGTGCTGAGGATATGGAAATAAATGACAAACACTCCCAAAACAAAAGGGAAAGAAAAATCCTTCCCTCCTAGAACACATTTTACTGAGAAAGACAAACAAATAGATCTTGTATATCTGGTAACGAATGCTCTAGAGAAAAGTGAAGCAGGATGAGAAACAGAATGTGACAGATAAAAGCAGGTGCTATTTTACATAGGATGGCCTGGCAAAGCCTTATTAATAAAGTGACATTTGAGCAAATATATAAAAGAGATGAGAAAATAAACCACGTGGCTATCTAATAGGACTGCACATAGGAATAGAGAACTATAGCAAATGCGAAAGGCAAGAACTGAGAAGATGCCAACTATGCCTGAGGAATAGCAAAGAGGCTGATATGGCTGCAGTTCAGGGAACAACATAAAGAACAATAAGTAATACTATTCAGAGAGCTAGCCAGAGGCCAAAATCACATAAAACCTTTACATCTTTGGTAGTATGTTTAAGTTTTATTTAGTCAAATGGAAAGCCTAGAAACAAGATTAATATGATCAGACTTCATATTTAAAGATCATTCTAGTTGCCAAATGCAGAAGAGGCTTTTTTGACTATTTCTGTAAGAATGAAATGACCAGTTATTGCAATGGAAAATGCTAGATTC